AAATGTTTGTTTGACCTTTGCTGTTTATGTTTTGCAAATGCGACTTGATGGCAGTTGTTTCGTCTACGTGCACTGATCCAAAAAGCAAAAACGGAGACGGCTGTCGTCTTCGCAGCAGCTGCACACATCCTTCAAGTAGCTTATGCCAATGACGCTGGTCATACCTGTTGTGGACCTTGATCTTGTGGGTGCTCTTGCCTGCACTGCTTACCACAAGATGATCACCTTCATGTGCGACAGTGCCCTTGAATCGTCCGTGGGTGGAATCGTATTTGAAGAGGTACACCTAAAATACATGTTCTAAATAATTTATTTGTAAAGTTCTAACTGATTGGGGTGTACCATTTCATCGCGCACAATAACAATACATTAGGAGTAATGCGGGCAACCAATAACACTGTAACTGCTGCATTTGTAAGGCAGACAAGAAAACATGATAATTGTACTTTTCATATATCGAAGTTCATGCATTCGGAGAAGGACCAGATGACGGTGTAGTCTTACGATATACCCGAGATTCATCTCTCCATTGGAAGAGTCTCTGAATTAGGTCCTAAGACTTGAGAGCTAAATAATTGAATAGGACCGATTTCCCTATGCAAACTACTGTCCCAGCCAATCAGTTTTTATTGGGTATAAGTGATGTCGAATCAATGAAAAATGCGTTTTTAAGCAAATTGACATCATTGCAAGCAGGGCGTCAATACACCGTAAAAAAGATGTCTTCAGTACACCTACGCGATGTTGTTACAAATCTAAAGAAGACGTCATTTCTGATGATATCTTGCACTTCCCCTAACCTACTTACTAAGAAACCACCTCTTCTACCCTCAATTGATCATGTTCCTTCGCGTTCCTTCGAATTTTTCCAGATTCGAAAAACACACGCCAACACAAACACAGTAATCAGTTGTGACTTTCCTAGCACTACGTTAGCTGTATTGTCAATATGATTTTTGAAAACTTTGTTCAAAGGAACCATACGCCACTCACCATATAGTCGATGTTGATGAAGGGATCATTGACAGCTACAACTTCAACGGTGTCCTTCTCGACAGCTGCGCGAAGCACCAAACGACCAATTCGGCCAAATCCATTGATTCCAACCTTTGGCTTGGACATGTCTTCAGAAAATAAAGGCTGAAAAAAGAAACTAATGCTAACTGCACTCTAAAAGGTCAAACGCTGAGACTATCGACGTTACGACACAGATATTATA